ATTTTCGCTTCATTAAAAATTCCTAAAAGAGAAACTGACACAAAAAAATATAGGTCAAGTTTATTGGGTTATCCAAAAAGTTAGAGATTGTTTAAATGTTTTAAAATAACTTTTTTTACAACGGTACACGGTAATTTGGGACTTATGCTGATGAATGAAAACGTACAGACTTTAATTATCTGTGCAATTGTCTAATATTAAGCTTTTTTTTAAAATATTAAATAGAAAATACGAAGAGGAGAATGTGAGTTACAGTTTGAGATGGGAGTCGACCGACGAAAATTAGCTTTTCAAGCAAAAATATCAGAATATGATTTAAAATTAACCATTTTGGGGAAGTCCGAATCATGCTCTTTTTAAGCAGAGAAGCCAATATAATATCATAGCATCGAGAAGATGTAAGCGACGGACAGCATTGAGATATGCTGTGAATATGGAATATATCGGTCCACTCCTTCCGGTACCTCCCCACAATTTTTTTTTTTTTTTTTTTTTTATTAATATATTTATTAATGCCTTCTATCTTAATTTGATATTTACATTAATTATGAAAATTATCAAAAATTATTTAATTCATCAGGGTTCACCCAGTGGTTTGCCCTTAAAATATTACTGGAGTTCTATGATTCATATATAGTATAATAGTTCTTACAAATTTTAGGTATAATTGGCTAGAGTCATTAAATTAAATCTTGAGGGGCCCTTCTTCTCAATCTTGTGAAAGTTTCAGAGCTTGCCATTAAGTTTACAGCTAAGGGGTTGGGATGTGATTCTATTCTCAGTTTGTAGTTTTGAAGTTGGTGTACTATTTCTTCTTGCACGGTTTTCATGTTCAGTTCCTCGTGTAATCTTTTATTCGTTACGAAGTATGGCGCTCCGGTAATTTTACGCAATGTTTTTGATTGAAACTGTTGCAGTACTTTGATTGTTGTATTGGAAGCAGTTCCCCATAACTGGATACCGTATGTCCAAATGGGCTTTATGATACATTTGTATATTAGTAGTTTGTTTTCGAGACACAGTTTTGAGTTTGAGCCAATTAGAAAATGCATTTTATGAATTTGCAAGTCAAGGGCTTTTCGCTTTGTTTTTATATGTGTGTGCCATTTAAGTTTATTGTCTAGATATAGACCGAGGTATTTAACTTCTTTCTCCTGAGGTAGTGTTATTTGATTCATTTGTACCGGTGGACATATTCCCTGGTTGAGGGTGAATGTTGCATGGTTGGACTTTGTTTCATTTGTTTTTATACGCCAACGCTTAAACCATTTACAAAGTATGATCAGATATTTTTGGAGCAAACTGCTGGCCATGTCAGGATTTTTGTGCACTGCAAGAACAGCAGTGTCATCCGCGAAAGTTCCAATAACAGCAGTGTCAGATTGCGGAAGATCTGATGTAAACAGAAGGTATAATATTGGACCCATAACACTACCTTGAGGAACACCAGCTCTTATACACTCAAGGTTGCTGTTTTCGTCAATCTCGTGTACATAGAAGAATCTGTTTTGTATGTAAGATTTTATAAACAAGTAGAAATTGATGGGAAGAAGTTGTTTTGCTTTGTACAGTAAACCGTCATGCCATACTTTATCAAATGCTTGTGATATGTCTAAAAAGGCCGAAGTGCAATATTGCTTTGATTCGTATGCAGCATTTATTGTTTCGACTAGCCTATGAATCTGCTCAATAGTTCCATGACTTTTTCTGAAACCAAATTGGTGTGGTGGAATAAGTTTGTTTGCCTCAATAATAGGTGTTAATCTTTTAAGAAACAGTGATTCTAAAACCTTGGAGAGAATAGGCAATAAACTGATTGGCCGATAAGATTTAACTTGGTCTGCCGGTTTTCCAGGTTTTTGGATCATAGTAATTTGGGCTACTTTCCATTGAGGGGGAATAAAATTGCGTGTTAAACAAGCGTTGAAAATGTACGTGATAAGGTTAATACCATCTTGTGGAAGTTCTTTAAGAACTTTTGGAGTAATTAGGTCATATCCAGGTGCTTTACCAAGTTTTAAGGACTTTATCGCTTCCGAAACTTCATTTTTCGAGAACTTTTTATGGGTAAGTCGAGTTGGTGTGGCTGATTTAGGTAATTTTTAATATAATCAGGTGTTTCTTCAGAGTTATTAGGCGTGAAGACGTCAAATAAGTGTTTTGCAAACACTGTTGCTTTTTCCAAGTTACTTTTTGTCCAGCTGTTATCAAATTTCCTAATTGGATAGCTTGTTTTAGGCTGGTTTTTGATATTTCTGGTTAACTTCCACAGGGAATAGTCTGTACTCATGGTTGTACCCAAATTTCGAATATCTCTTTCAGTGTTCCTTTCGTTTATACTTTTTAACATTTTTTGAAGATCAGATGTGGCTTTATTGAGTATTTTTTTGTCTTCTGGCGATTTAGTTTGTTGCCACCTTTTTCTAGCCTTTCTTTTTTCTGACAGCTTACTTTCTAATGAAATATTAAAATTTGAGGGTTTGTCAAAGCTGCACTTAGGCGTGGAGTTCCATGATGACATTTGGATGACTTGAATTAGATGTTCAACAGCTACTGTAATTTCTTCGTCGGTTTTTAGGGAAAGCTTTTGATTTATAGTATTGCTGATTTGATAACGAAATAGGTGCCAGTTTGTTTTTTTATTGTGCAGTTTACACATTTGGTTTTGGTTTACATGTTGTGAATGTAGCACTAGAGACACTGGAGAGTGATCAGATGACAAGTCATAGCTAGTTACACATGTTTCTGAGTTTTCTGGAATGCCCTTGGAGACACAAAAATCTATGAGGTCTGGAGATTTATTTAGATCAGTGGGCCAGTAAGTAGGCGAATTGGGAGAAATAGTTCTTAAATTTAGGTCTTTTATAGCCCAAAAGAGTTGTCTTCCTTTTGGTGTTGTGAGGCGTGATCCCCAATGGACGTGTTTTGCGTTATAATCTCCGCAAGCTATAAACTTGTTTCCCAGAGTTTTGAAGTAACTAACGTATACATCTTTTTTTACGTTGTGCCTTGGAGGACTATAAAGTGATGAGACTGTAAGAGGCCCATGTATAGTTTGGACAATAATACTTGTCGCTTGTATTTCAGGTGTGCAGTAATGTCTTCCTTGGTGATGTTTTATTGTGTTTTTTATTAATATGCCTGAACCACCACGCGCCTTCCCAGATGGATGCATGACGTGATAGAAGTTATATTTTGGAATGGATAAATGGTTTTTATCAGTAAAATGTGTCTCAGATATAAGAAATATATCTATATTATTAGTTTGTAAGAAATTTGAAACTTCTAAAGTATGTTGTGATAATCCATTTGCATTCCAGAATATAACTTTTAAAATTTCCATTCTTTAGATGTGGGAAAGTTTTTCAGAGATACTCGTAAGAAGGTTTGACATTTGTTTCATTAGTATATTTAAACCACTCAGCATTTCATGTATTTCTGGAAGTTTATTAGTTGTTGTCTGTTGATTTTGTGGTTGTGTTCCGCTAGGTATTTGATTGTTTTGTATAGCGTTTCTAGCTACACTTGAATACTGGACGTTCTCCCTTCGCTCAGCTGAAGTGGAAGGATGCTGCGGCTCTAATTGCTCATTTATTGTTTTCCTTAGAGAAGGGTAATGGTGAGTATAAATTTGTTTGTAAACAGAGCAACCTTTGTAATTTGCAGGGTGGTTGCCATTACAGAGAGCACACTTAACTTCATTTGCCCAGTGTTTTTTAGGACAAGACCTACTTTCATGGGGTCCTGCACATTTTACACATATCGGTTTTTTTCGACAGTATGCCTTTGTATGACCATGTTGTTGACAATTAGTACATTGTGGAATAATTTTCTTAGGACGTGGTGGTTCAAATTTAATTATATTTGACATTAGTTTTGTTATTGAGTATATATCCTTATTGTTCGGCTTACTTACCAATACCAGTTCAAATAGAGGAAGAGGCTCTTTTTTGTAACGGCTTTTTATGTTCCATATATTAGTTACTTCATGGCCAAGGCGAGAAAGTTCATTTTTGAGGCATTGAGTGTCTATTGAGGGATGCATGTTTCGCATAATTACTTTAAAACCTCTTTCACACTTTGGTTTGTAGGTGTAAAACTCAGTATTCTTCTGTTCTAATTCGCTGACAATTCTTTTGTATGTTTCATGTGTTTTTGGTTGGATCTTGACCTGCTGCTTACGAAGAGTTTTGATCTCGTACTCATTTGGGACAGTCTCTGACAATAGTGCAATCAGAGGTTGAATATTTGAAACTTTGTCAACGAATATTGGCGGTGGTTTAAAAACCTTTTCAGGGGGGTTTGAAGATGGTAATGGTTCATTTTCACTATCAAGGACAGCAAATTGATTAGTATTTTTTGGGGTTTTACTTAACCAGTAGTTATTCCCAGTTGCTTGTTTTTTCTTATTTTTGCCACTTTGTGGGCTTTCTTGTTTTCTTTTCTTGTGTGTTATTTTTTGCCATTCATTGTCTGGCTTGGCATTCTTGTTTTCATCTTCAACGAAGTTCTGAGTTTGCTTTTCAAAGCGACCTACTTCTTCTTGAAGTTCATCTTCATCCGTTTGATAGGAGTCAGGTTTTTTGTTTAATTGTAGTTTCAAAAATTCTACATCTTTTTTGAGTTGACTGCAAAGTTTCTCATATTTCTCATTCCGTTCAGTAAGTTCGGCATTAGCTTTCTCCAATTGTTGCAATTTATTTAATCGGAAAGAGCCAATGCTGTTGCGTGGGGTTACTTCATAAGGTACTCGATCGGAAACAGGGTGACTCATGTCGATTTCGCTATAGAGGTGTTTATCTTAGACACACACCACATAAGCACGACATTACCGACCCAACACAAATTCCGTACTTTACTTTTGGAAGCAACTCTGTGTTGTAAGGTGTAAAAAAATACAGCTCCACAACCACTATTTTGAAAGAAGCGACCAGCTGATGTTGTAAATTTGATAAACAAATATTCAGCTGACTCCAATATTATTTGTCTCTTTCAAATTAAATTTTGTTTGTTTTGCCAATAAAACAATTTATTGGAAATTTTAAAACTTTGATTTGCGAAACACTCACCGTCGACGATGACTAAACGTGGGTGAAATTGTGTTCCTGAGGAATTACTGCTCCAATACAACAACAATCCGCCAACTATAAATCGCTCTGAACGGTGAAAATTTGAAGGTTTGTTGCAGCAACGATTAACACGTCCGTCTGGTAAGCTACAACGAACTAAACCACAATTTTTAATATCCATGAAGCACCTAAAAGTCGAAGTTAACATCCGATTCCACTCAGACTTGGCACATCTCAATATTGCTATTAATACCATATCTGTTATAAGGAGGGTAGAGATCGAATCATTCCTTATGGTACCTCCCCAACAAAGGGTCAAAAAGGGTAAAAACGATCATAAAATCCCAAATATGCAACGGGTTCTTCATGTTATACCATTATTTCTACCAAAACAAAATCTGCTGCGAAGATGAGATATATCGGTCCACTCCTTCTGGTACCTCCCCCAAAGGGTCAACATTTTGAAAATCCATGAAGCTCATAAAATGCGAAATTAACATTCGGTTTTATTCAGATTTGACAGATCTCTGTATTTCCATCAACACAAGATCTGGTATAAAGATGGAAGAGATCGAACCATTTCTTCGGGTACCTTCCCCACTTAGGGTTCGACATATTAAAAAAAACGCTCAAATAAAGCGAAATATGCATCCAATTCTCTTCAAATTTCACACATACAAACATATTTGCTAAAACAAGATCTGTTGTGAAGATTATATATCTGCGAACCCCTTCTGGAACCTCACTCACAAAGTTGCTTCGCTTGGCCGATAATGGTGAACTGCCGAATTTGGTTTTCTCCGATGAGGTCAGCAGAACCTGTGCATCTACGGTTGGTCACCAGAACTCAAGCGAATCCCTCCACCAGTTGGAACGAATTTGGAAATAAAATCCTTAAAAAATTCTGTTAAAATTTAAAACATACCGAATATAGCCTTTATATTGGTGTCTATACGACGTGGACCTACATAGGCATTGTTTGTCATAATTCATTACCAAATTCAAATTCGAAACATAAATAAACGGTGAATAATGCAGCTAAAATCATCAAAATATCGTATATAGGGAGGTACCGTTATATAGGAGCTGTGCGAAGACCTAAGCCAGCATAGACGATTTTCTGTCATAGGCTGTAGCATCCATTACGAACTTCAAATACGACATCTCAAACAATTTCGGTGAGTATTGTACCTAAAATCGTAAAAATACCGAATATAGGGGGAGGCTATATGAAAACTTTGACCTACATAGCCCATTTACGAACTTAACCTGCCTACTGGCAAAATAAACATATGTTCAAAATTTTAGCCTTCTATCTCAATTCGTTCGAAAGATAGCGTGATTACAACAGACAGACGGACAGCGCTAAATCTACTTAAAATTTTACGCTGATCAAGAATATATACACTTTATTAGGTCTGACATGAGTATTTCGAGGAGTTACAAACGGAATGACAACGTTAATATACCCTCCATAATATGGTGGAGGGTATAAAAAAAAATATTTGGGCAATATATATTCCGGACCCAGTTTCACCAAATAGAAAAATTCGGTTTAATATGAAAAAATCTATTCGATTACATATATGGTTCACATTAACCGTAAAATCGGATGATGGTATATAAAAATCTGAAGCGATTTTCATAACATTTGACAGAGGCATTTCCGAGCAGTATCCGATGCCCGGTATCAAATATAATTTTTGTGGAGTGCATATTACGCATGTGAGGGACTTTAACGCCAAATCGGATGAAACATATATATGGGGACTATAAATAATCTGAACCGATTTTCACCAAATATGACATATGTGGTTCTGAGTTCGGTCGGATGTGCAGAAACTCATCCAATTTGGACAAATATTACACTTATGTTGCATAATAAAATTGAAAACGGACAAAGTTATATATTTGAGCTTTATTTAATTTGGACAGATTCTCATTAATTTTCATAAGATTCATCGTAAATGATTTGTGTAATTTATTTACAAAAGAACATGACGGACATACACAAATCGACTCAGAATGTGATTCTGTGAAGATCATAAATAAAAACTATTCCGTTTGCTTCTGCATGGGTAGAGTATAAATTCGACCCTCTAAATATTGTGCCCGTCTCCAAAATAAATTCCTTAACACAACACATATTTACCAAGCATTTAATCCACATTTCGAAGTATCTACACTCCAGAATAATTTGCTTTCACAATTCAATTTAATTGAGAAGCAACAACATCTACACAACGCATGTTAGCAAAAAGACACACATACATAAAAATATATTAAAATTCATATATAAATTAAAAATAAACATTTGTATTATAAACTGTGAATGCTGTTTAACACATAATAACTATTAAAATATATAAATAACTGAAAATAAAACGTTAAAAATAATAATAACACTCGGAATTAAAATATTTTTTAAAAGCTTTTTCTATATATTATTTAAATCGAAAAACTATAATAGTAAAGTAAAATCCAAAAAAAATATATATATATTAGACCTTTCAAAAATGTAAAATGTAAAATATATTTATAAATAAGTAATTATAGCTACGATAAACGTATTTTCAACGGCATACAAAATTTGAAAGAAAAATCTTCCGCCATTTAAACCACTGCGCAGCAGTTCATTCAAAAACCAAAGGCATTTAAATAAAATTTAATGCTCATTTCATATACATAGATTAACACCTGTTCAAATAAATACATGACACCCTGCATCTTCATAAAATATTTAATATTTCATAATATATTTGTTTACATTTTCAACCGCTAAAAGGTTCAAACATCAAAACTTACGAACATAATTTTACCGAAGAAACAGTGATTGATCAATTAATAAATGGTCAACATTTATTAGATTTTTTCATATCTCTAATAGAGCCTCGTTGTCATTTCAAAATTAAAACATTTATCTCGGGTTCACTAAATTCCATTACTCCTTTTCGAATATTTTTTCATAATTTATTAACTTACATATTATTTATTTAAAAATAACTCTAATAAAAAAAGAAATTCATTTAGAAAAAAAACTTAAAAAATCGTCAACTATTTATCATGGTTAAACATGGAACTAAATATAAACATTATATAAATACAAAAATAAAATTAAAAACCAGTAAGGAAAGCTCAAAAGTCGGGCGGGGCCGACTATATGATACCCTACACCACTATGCATATTTAGTAGAACTCTCGTAAAAAGGTTTATACATGGCATTTCAGAGCTCTATCAGATATTTGGTACAAAATCAAAATCTATCTAATTCTATCGTGCATTTTACGAACTATAGCTATCTCTGAACCGGGTTTCTCCAAATTTTACGTATTAGCTTCTAGACTGGTGATTTGGGCTGATATTGACCATTTAGTGCATCCCGAAATCGGATGAAGATATATATGAGAGCTATATCCAAATCTGAACCGATTTCGATAAAATTACAAACAGCTATTTCTGGGCTGTATCTTATATCTGGTACCAAATATCATTCTTGTGGAGTGCATATTACGAATGTGAGAGGCTTAAAAACCAAATCGGATGAAAGATATATATGGGAGCTATAGCTATATCTGAACCGTTTTTTTCCAAATTTGATATACTTGCTTCTAGGCCGAACTTGGTTGGGTGTGCCAAAATTCAGGTAATTTGGACTGATAGTGGACATTTGGTGCACATTTAACCCGAAATCGGATGAAGATATATATGGGAGCTATAGCTGTTTCTGAACCGATTTTCTCCAAATTTGTTGTATTTGCTTTAAGGCTAATCTCAGACATATGTGCCAAAATTCGGGCCATTTGGGCTGATATTGGCCATTTGGTGGTCAATTAACCCGAAATCGGATGAAGATATATATGGAAGCTATATCCAAATCTGAACCGATTTCGATAAAATTTAAAACAGCTATTTCTGTGTTCCATCTAATACCTGGTACCAAATATCACGGTTGTGGAGTGCATAGTAGGAATGTGAGGGACTTAAAGATCAAATCGGATGAAAGATATATATGGGAGCTATAGCTATATCTGAACCGTTTTTTTCCAAATTTGATATACTTGCTTCTAGGCCGAACTTGGTTGGGTGTGCCAAAATTCAGGTAATTTGGACTGATAGTGGACATTTGGTGCACATTTAACCCGAAATCGGATGAAGATATATATGGGAGCTATATCTAAATTTGATCCGATTCTCACCAATTTCAATAGGGTTCGTCCTTGGGCCAAAAAAATATTGTTTGGAAAATTTCATCACAATCGGATAATAAATGCGACCTGCATTTTGTTCACAAGAATACATGGACAGACGGACGGACAGACGGACTGACATGCATAAATCGACTCAGAAAGTGATTCTATGAAGGTTCTCAAAAGTAACTATGGGTCTATCTCGTTTCCTTCTCCATGTTACAAACAAATGCACAAAGACATAATACCCTTACCACTATGTGGTGTAGGGTATAAAAATTAAAAAAAGTTAGCTACGCAAATTGATAAATAAACCATTATAGAACAAATGCAGTAAACTGAAAATGTAAACCCAAATATTCGAAACAAAAATATATATATTAAAGGAAAAATAAATGATTGATATTGCTTAGAGTTTATTTAATACATACGAAAGAAAAAAATAAATGATATGTATACAAAAATTAAAAATAAATATTAAATAATAAGTAACATTATGTAATACACACAAAACAAAAACAAACGTCAACATTGCATAATGAAATAAACAAGAATTATGTATAACAATTTAATTTAAAAACTTTTTTTCATTTAAATCTTTGGGTAAAGATTTTGATATTTGAAAGCATATACAACCAGTAAAGAATGTTAAAAAGATGGCCGGGCCGACTTTCTGATACCCTACATCGATATGCATATTTAGTGAAGCTACTCTATACAAATAAACGCTCATACAGGGTGAGATGAAAAAACTGCAACCAACTTCAGATTGCTGTCATTTCTAAGCCACTCGTCCGACAGCTGTTAAAATTATTCCAGTGACAGCTCATAACATTGTTTACAAGCGTACAAAAGCATTTTGGTGAGAATTTTCCAGAAAAAAAATTTTTCGTGATGGAATTCAAGCGTGATGGTGTGATTTCTTTATATTCGGCTGGAAAACCACAATTGGC